CACCCCCACCTACACACACTCACACACACACACACACACACACACACACTCAAACACTCAAACACACACACTCACACACACACAAACAAACACACTCTCACACACACACTCAAACACTCAAACACACACACAAACACTCAAACACACACACAAACACTCAAACACACACACACACACAAACACTCAAACAAACACACACACACACACACACACACACACACTCTCACACACACACTCAAACACACACACACACACACACACAAACACTCAAACACACACAAACACACACACACAAACACACACAAACACAAACACACACACACACACACACACCTCACACTCACCTCACACAGCATGATGCCAAACGAGAAGATGTCCACCTTCTCATCATAGCTCTTCCCTGAGAAGCAGATGGAGAAACAGCATCGACATTTAAAAAAATTTTGTTTGCATCTATTAACCTACAAGTTCAGGTTCATCAAACAGAATAAATAAAATAAAAAACATGTCTGAAACCTTTTTTTTTTTTTTTTAAATGATTTTTTATATTTAGGAGACAAACATGATTTCTAAGAACTTGGCACTTTTAATAAATCTCTGAAATATGGTTCATCCTAAAACAGCACACGAGCTCTCTGTAAGAACATTATGCTTAACACAGAGAATAATACGTTAATGACAGACGGATGATAAAGCCTGTTGTCTCTGACCGTGTATCATTTCGGGAGCCATCCAGTACGGGTTTCCCACCACGGTGTATCTCTTCCTCCTGTCGGGTTTCCTCACGCCCGGGATCGGTCCTGAGGACAGCTTGTCCTGATTCTTGTCCTCCACCATGAGTCGGGACAGTCCGAAATCCGCCACAACAACACTGTTATTCTGTCAAGAGCAGGAAAATCAACAATCAGCACACTGACTAAAACTACAGTGATCTATAAAAGCAGAGCACAGGAACTGAGAGAACTGGCTTTAATGTTGAACTCTTCAGCTAAATGTGATTGCCACACTCCGCTGACTGTGTTAATACAGAGCTCTAGTGCGTATTATCAAACACTCACACTAACAGAGAATAACTGGGACAAACACATCTGATAGATGATGATGATTTTCAAATAACTCAGCCTTGACAAAATTAAACAAGTCAAGAGGTGCCTATATATGCCGTCTAAATAAACATTCTCAAAATAAAAACAAAAATGTGATGCTGAGAACAGAAGCAGCAGCTTCAGAAAACCTTCAATACAACACAAAACAAAAGACACAACAAACAAAAACACAAAACAAAACAACGCAAAATATAACGTAAAAAAACTAAAAATAAATAAACATAAGAAACAAAATAAAACCCAACACACACACACACACTCTCTCTCTCTCACACACACACACACACACACACACACACACACACACACACACACACTCACACACTCACACACACACTGACCTCTCTGACCAGGCAGTTGTGTGAGTTGAGGTCTCGGTGGATGATGTTCATGGAGTGCAGGTACGTCTGAGGCACAGAATGACAGAAACTGCTTTATTATCACTGATGAGAAAATACTGCCATCTGCAGATCACAGTTCATTTAGGTACCGACAACATTCACCACAGTGATTTTTTATTTGAATGTATTTTGTTTTTCATAACTGTTTTAAGCAAAGTTTTTTCATTGTTTTTTGGTTTTTGTATGTTTTTAGCATTTAATAATACATTGTGTATTGTAAACTAAAACTAAAATTAATATGTGGTAATTTATAGTTTACTTCAGTTTTGAAGTCAAAATCCATTTTTTTTGCTCAGTTTGTTTTTCTAAGCATGGTAATTTCATTACACCAAATACACAACATAATGTTCTTTTTAGCAACATCATATGACCCCTTTAATGTAGCTTTAGTTTTCATTAACAAAAAATAAAAGTTTCACAATTTCTTTTAAGGTTTTTCACACTTTTAGCTCATAAAATATGAATGTAAAGTAATGACTGAAATACTGGAGAAACAGTTTGAAATGAAGCCTGTGACCCATCAGTCATGTGATGTCGGCTGAGTGTCCAGATGAGGGCAGCACTGACTCACCATCCCAGAGGAAATGTCCTTGGCAAAACTCACTCTCTGTTTCCATGGATAACTGCTGTCCTGCACAGATCAGACATTCACATTCAGAAAGACAATATTCACGCTCAAACCTTCTAGCCTTGTACAAGAGTACAGCATGACAGCATTCCTATGCACAGTACTGTGCTGTTGAAAGGTGAGCTGCTGCGGGAAAGAGCACGGTCCACACTGTCCTGAACATGAGACGTGCTTTACATTATCACTTCAAACTAACTCCTGAGCATATAGTTCACACACACCATATTCTTGATGATGTCTCTCAGCGTTCCTCCTTTAATGTACTCAGCGATGAAGTTGAGCCGCTTGTCTTTGTAGAGGACGCCGATGAACTTCAGCACGTTAGGATGATCCAAACATCTCATGACCTTCACCTGAACACACAGAGCAATAAATAAGTGTGTGCTTTAGTGTGTGTGTGTGTGTGTAGTGTGTGTGTGTGTGTGTGTGTGTGTGTGTGTGTGTGTGTGTGTGTGTGTGTGTGAGTGTGTGAGTGTGTCATCACCTCTTTGAGGAAGGTCCTCTGTGTTTCCTCGTCGAATCGAATGAGTTCCTTCATCACCATCACCTCTCCCGTCTCTCTGTGAGTCACCTGACAATCACACACACACACACACACACACACACACACACACTGATGAGACACTGGCAACAGCATACTATCACAGTGCTATCATACTCATTCTGTACTTTATCTCGCTGCATCTGCAACAGTCTCCTGCGTAGAGCCTGAGTATACAGTATGCTCGCAGTATATACTGTATACTAGAGGTGGGGGAAAAAATCGATACAGCATAGTATCTGTACATTTAAGTACATTTAATTAAGGTGGACTAGACTAGACTGTAATGCAAATACTTGAGTTCAAAGTTTTCCTTTGGGGACATAATTTGAAGTTGGAAAAAGGTAATAAATTAAAATATCACAATAATATTGTATCGTGACACAAGTATCATGATAATATTGTATCGTGAGGCCTCTGGTGATTCCCGCCCCTGCTGTATACGACCTGCTGACATAAAGCGTGAAGCAGTGCATCATGCAGTGTAGAGAGCATTTCCAGCATTTCACTGCTGCAGTGTTCACACAACATTAACTGAGAATGATTCATTGATCCGTCATTCATTCAGTTTATTCATGTTACTTTGCATTTCATTGAATTTTGTACAAAAATATATTGTAAATTCATATCACTTCAAGTTCATGTGGCATGCTGCCAATGGAAGGTCCAGTCCAGTGCATTGCATTGTGGGATGGATTACTGTGTGCAGTCTCTGCTGGTTGTATCCGGCACAGTTTGATGAATGTCGTAAATCATCTGGATGGTTAATGCATACAGAAAACATGATCATTGTGCGAAACAGTACAGGTAGGATACTAGTGTAGTATCATATTCCCACAATGCAATGCAGTCAACTTGATCTTGAACATCCACTGTGAGATATTAGGCAGGAGCAATACTAACACATTTATAATGTCTATTTCTTTACAAACAGTTATGATGTCTTGATAATATTAAATAAAAAAGTTAATGCCTATAGCTCATTCTGAGATAATATCTGTACACCACCAGCTGAAATAAACTCAGTTAAACAAAAAAAGCATTTACTGATGGCAGGCACTAATTACAGTAATGTTCCATTTCTATTTAAACAAAAAAGGTATTTCTGTTAATTTTATGTTATACATGCATAACTCTACATGTTTGACAAACATACACATTCACATCTTGCTCACTGCTCAGGAGCATATCCCATCATTCATCACATTCTAGAAATAAATCTCATGAGACATTTCTATTGTACGTTAAATATTAATAATTACTTTATTGGTGTAAAGATGAGTATGTGTATTTTGTACAACTTTTGCAACTGCTTTCTATCACTTAATTGGAAGCACCGCAATTATTAAATCATGTCATCTGTTATAGAGACTACTGAACAGACAATTAAAGTTCATTTTAAAATGCAAAGTATTGAAATTCAAAATAAAGCTATACAAACACTTGCATTTTAGAACACTATAAGTGTGTCCCATCAGGCAATGAAAAGTAAACACTAATCTTCATGCCCACTTCAACACTTGGGCCAAATACAGGAAATACATCATGTAAGTAGACAAGTGGTCAAGTGCAAAGACAGCAAGTGTGGGTATTTGGACAGGCCCCAAGTGTGCTGCACACGTCTTCAAAAAGTGAAGCCAAAACATTCTGATCGCCCCCTGGTGGCTGGCTGCTGTATAGCTCATATTCCCCGCCCTCTCCATGTAAACAAATGGGATCTAAGCAAAACTATCATTCAAATTACACTTCAAATAAATGTTAGTTAGTTTTTCTAATAAGTTTGCTTTTAGGTAGTTATTTGATGATTTGAAAAATGGGATGTGGTGTCATAATTGTGAGACTGCGATTGGGTCTGTGGGAGTTTCATACTGCAGCTCCAGCACATGATCACTGCTGCGCAGACTTGGATTCCAAACTATTCACTACTGCGCAGACTCGGGCTCCAAACTATTCACTACTGAGCAGACTCGGGCTCCAAACCATTCACAACTGAGCAGACTCGGGCTCCAAACTATTCACTGCTGCACAGACTCGGGCTCCAAACTATTCTCTACTGCGCAGACTCGGGCTCCAAACTATTCTCTACTGCGCAGACTCGGGCTCCAAACTATTCTCTACTGCGCAGACTCGGGCTCCAAACTATTCTCTACTGCGCAGACTCGGGCTCCAAACTATTCTCTACTGCGCAGACTCGGGCTCCAAACTATTCTCTACTGCGCAGACTCGGGCTCCAAACTATTCTCTACTGCGCAGACTCGGGCTCCAAACTATTCTCTACTGCGCAGACTCGGGCTCCAAACTATTCTCTACTGCGCAGACTCGGGCTCCAAACTATTCTCTACTGCGCAGACTCGGGCTCCAAACTATTCTCTACTGCGCAGACTCGGGCTCCAAACTATTCTCTACTGCGCAGACTCGGGCTCCAAACTATTCTCTACTGCGCAGACTCGGGCTCCAAACTATTCTCTACTGCGCAGACTCGGGCTCCAAACTATTCTCTACTGCGCAGACTCGGGCTCCAAACTATTCTCTACTGCGCAGACTCGGGCTCCAAACTATTCTCTACTGCGCAGACTCGGGCTCCAAACTATTCTCTACTGCGCAGACTCGGGCTCCAAACTATTCTCTACTGCGCAGACTCGGGCTCCAAACTATTCACTACTGCGCAGACTTGGGCTCCAAACTATTCTCTACAGCACAGACTTGGATTCCAAACTATTCACTGCTGCACAGACTCGGGCTCCAAACTATTCACTGCTGCGCAGACTCGGGCTCCAAACTATTCTCTACTGCGCAGTCTGGGGCTCCAAACTATTCACAACTGCACAGACTCGGGCTCCAAACTATTCACAACTGCGCAGACTCTGGCTCCAAACTATTCTCTGCTGCGCAGACTCGGGCTCCAAACTATTCACTGCTGCACAGACTCGGGCTCCAAACTATTCTCTACTGCACAGACTCGGGCTCCAAACTATTCTCTACTGCAAAGACTCGGGCTCCAAACTATTCACAACTGCAAAGACTCGGGCTCCAAACTATTCACAACTGCACAGACTCGGGCTCCAAACTATTCACAACTGCGCAGACTCTGGCTCCAAACTATTCTATGCTGCGCAGACTCGGGCTCCAAACTATTCACTACTGAGCAGACTCGGGCTCCAAACCATTCACAACTGCGCAGACTCGGACTCCAAACTATTCACAACTGCACAGACTCGGGCTCCAAACTATTCACTGCTGCACAGACTCGGGCTCCAAACTATTCACTACTGCGCAGACTCGGGCTCCAAACGAATCACTACTGCGCAGACTCAGGCTCTAAACGAATCACTACTGTGTAGACTCGGGCTGTAAACGAATCACTATTAAGCAGACTCGGGCTCCAAACGAATCACTATTATGCAGACTCGGGCTCCAAACTATTCACTACTGTGCAGACTCGTGCTCCAAACTATTCACTACTGTGTAGACTCAGGCTCCAAATTATTCACTACTGCGCAGACTCGGGCTCCAAATTATTCACTACTGCGCAGACTTGGGCTCTAAACTAATCACTACTGTGCAGACTCGGGCTGTAAACGAATCACTATTA